CGTCGCAACCGTACGAGTGACGTGCGTTGACGTACTGATCATCGCCAGTCCCTCCTACCCTACGTACGTTTCAGAAAAACCGTACGGACCCGAACGTACCCCCCCCCCCCCCAAAAAAAACGAACAGACGAAAAACACGTACGGCGGGTTGTGACCTACGCTTATAGGTAGTCAGTTACATGGCTTGCCTGGCGTAATGCAAAATGTGTTGTCATCTTTAACATCTGAATACATTGCATCTGGAAACCATGTGTTTGAACTATAGCCATACCAACCTGGCGCACTCGCCACGGGCCCGACCCCGAACACCAGAAGCACAGCAGTAGAAACTGTCAAAGCACGCATGATGAGACGATGACAAGCTCAGTTAGGTACCCTCGCATATTTATATACGTGTATGATCTTACATAAGCTGCTCTGATAGGCTATCACCAAAAGTTGACATAGATAGGTCGTTTGCATTTCTCTTCCATTTGTGGATCTATGTATATCTTTTGCTGATACGTCTATTATCGACCTGATAATCAAAAACTATACGTTGAAGCTAATATTTGGAGACTTTTCGTAAATTCTGTATCATTGAATTCTGTTCCATGAAACAAAGAAGCAATACTCGTAATCATAACTACGTAACTACACTAGATACTAGTAAAACGAAGAACAAAACACGGAGTATCATAGCAGGCCAGCTGCACGTGCGCAGAAGTGACCTGTTTATTTGTTGCATTCGTACAACTTGTTGATCTTCTGCAGATCCAGGGAGCTGAAGTCTTGCGCAGCTCCCAGGACGATGCCGTTCAGTGGAAGCTGCGGGTGGAGGGCGCACAGAATACAATATTATATATAAGAGTATACATAAATGCCATCATGCAAACTACTGGCGCAGTATTGTGTAACTAATATTGATATTCAATGGTATAATTCTTTCTTCAGATCGCGTCCGCAGGGTCTACTAATATTACTATCACAACACAAATAGCGAGAAACGTTTTAGCCTACCTTGGGCACGATGGTCGCCCTTCCATTGGTGCTAAAAGCGTGGCTCTCGTAGTGCATGATGGATCCATAGTCGTACGACAGGCCCAGGGTGCGGGAGGTAGACAGCTTGTCGAAGGCGTGACGGTGCTCTGAAGGAGAGGAAAATGACAGTAAAAAAACTACTCCAATTTTCGCTAATGATGACAAGTTTAATGAAGGCGCTGTGGAATCCGATTGCAAGAGTCATTCAAAAGTCAAACGACTTCCTGCAATTATGCATATAATATTGTAGATTTTGGGGTTTCTCTACTTGAGAAAAAGACATGTGATAATATACAAGTTTTATAATTTAAAAAAAAATTGAACGCACGGGATTCTGCGTTTTCACGGTAGATGGTGACGTAGTCATCCCTGTCCGGCCGCTGATGTTCGTGCCAGAAGCCCACAGCGTGCATCAGCTCGTGCAGGATCGTTCCCTTTCCGAGACATCCGGTACCGAGAGACAACTCCTGCATCCCACCGACAGAACCAACTTGCGAGTTGCAACTGGAAGAGTTATCATGGACTGGTGTATGAAATCGAAACGTAACATCTCGTCTTTTGTAAAGGTCATCTTGATCCAATTCGCTAATTTTACAGAGAGATAGGAAGAGCAACGGACGTGCCCCGAGGAACTGCAACAACAAGCGAAGTACGCTGGTGACATTCCAGCCTAGTTATATCTCAGTACCGATGCATTTCAGAGTAGCATCGCGTCATACTCGGAGGACATAAACCTTACCCAGTAAGTCTTTTGATGTGGACGTAGTTCCGCTCGTTGGTTCGGGGCTTGAACTGGAGGCATGTCCGCTGGTTGTACTCCAGAATAGCGGCCTGGATTCTACCAACCTCCGATCCGGCAGGTGCAGTCAGAATCGTTGCGCCTGCAGGTCAAACAAGACGTAGCCGTTAGCTCGGAACTTACCTTTCTGTTTGCTGCCTTACCTGGTAACCAACAAAAATTTGGTGCTAAAGGTAACGGCTAACTTAGTAGACTGAAGTTGAAGGTACTCTTTCGACTACAATGCCTAGATACATTTGTGATCTAGTAATAAAGTGTTAAATTGCTGCTTTCATGCTGCTTTCATGCTCTCTATCTTTGTATGAATCGTATTTCTTTCTCTGTCTTTTATCTACATAGATTGGGACCCCACCTTTTTAAGCGTTTGAAATACCTATGATTCTAAATATATGTTGCTTGATTTTTACAATCTGACAAATGTATTTTGCTATCATATGGGATGTTGTCACGGAAATCACAATCCGAAGTCTCTTAAGTGGACTGTCATATATGTCCTTGTATGACATTCATAACGTCAGTGGTTACCTCCATTGTCCCCTCCGTTGTTACCTCCATCGGTGCCCCCACCACAGGTGTTGCAGCTCAACTGACAGTTCACCAGCATGTAGTTGGGGTTGGCGGCACACTCTCCAATGCTGGCCCAAAAGCCACAATTCTGGTTATTGTCCGAACAACCTAGAGATGAACCCAAACCAGCTCAAATCATATCTAATACAGATCTGCCTTTACTGTCGCTTTTCAGCTCCGAGACAGTATATTTCATAGTTTATTGTTTTGTGATGGGGATATCATTCATGGTTTTATTTTCATTCAGTCTACCTGATCGATAGCATACTAGTACATAACTTGACAAAGCTGGTAGAGGCTATTGTTCTCCATAATGTGAAACTCCATTTAACTACCAACATGCAGTACCTGCCGTGCACACGCTGCAGCTCAGCTGGCAGTAGTTCAGCATGTAGTTGGGGTTTGCCTGACACTCGCCGATACTGGCCCAGTAGGCACAGGAGTCGTGGTTGTCTTGACAGCTTCTTGCTGTTGTGTAAAGTAAATGAATGACACCTCTGTACTTAATGAAGATCATTGCGCGCGCGTGCGTCCCAAAACTATATGAAAACGAGAAAACGCGAGGAAGATTGAGGGAACAAATTTTTGTTAGCAAGATGACATTTTAAACATCTGATATTCCGAAGGAGTTTCGGAATTGCGCAGAGAAAAGGATAGACTTTGGGGGTTCAAGATTGCCGTAGCAATATCTAGGCCACGTCGCACGAGCTGAAGACTATAACGTACCGGATCCGGAGCGGCTACAGAGGCCACAACTCTGCGCACATTCGGACAGCATGTACCCGGGGTTGGCGTCACACTCGCCCGAGGCCGCCCAACCCGCACAGTTACCGTTGGTGTCAGAGCAGGAAGTAGCTGGAGGGAGAACCCTTTTATTAATATTGGATTACTGACAACGGTGTTGACAACTTTTCATCAAGTGTCTGCTTTCATGAAAGAACGTAGTTATCCTAATCATAGTTTGACATAAAAGCCTTTGAGTGCCTCAATAATTAAGGTAGACTTACTAAATTCATTGCCAATGACGTAAGGAATCACTCCATTCGGCCAACGTCGTCCATCAGTGATGGCATTACGGGAGTCCTGAAACAGTTGAGTTAATGATTTAGAATAACCATATTTCTCCAGTAGCATGAAAAACTAGGAAAAATTATCGTATACATCTACTTTAACTAATCACTGTGGAATTATGTGTACATGATGTAAAATTGACTGCTTTTTATATCAGTCAAGGTCAAGGTTATATCAGTACCCCTGGCTATAACATTTAAATAATGAATATGACTGAACTTGTACAACAGCTGATTCACGTCTCACGATGTATACATGTATGTACGTAGTAAGTGTATGTGAAGGTGAAATACGTTTTGTATCGCTTAAGTCCCACCCTTAGATATTGTATGTGTGTTATATTTATTGTTTACTCACAGGATCAACACCGGTGATATCGCCTGAATACAGATTCAATCCTGTGGGAAGGGCAAGATAATCAGACAGTCTCCGTTAGCATATTTAACAATTACAAAAGATATGAAGTATTAAAAAAGAATTCAAGATTATCAAAAGCAACATATTTGCAAACCTAAAGACACGCCAAAGCCACCAAAAGTATGACCTGGCCTTCCGTAAGTCTGGCGTACCCTTGTTTGCTTCCAAGATGGCCTTGGTGACGGACTCTGCCTCTGGCGACCTCCGGAGGCTGTCGGCTGTGTGCAAAATGCAGAACCAACTACAGATAAGCTCTTAGTATGTCACGTTGCGAAGGGTTACCTTGCTGTCAGCAATACTTATGATTATTTCTTGCGTACTTGTACCATATGTTAGGCTACCACATGAAAGAACGTCCTTTGAATATCTTTAGAAATGCGTGTACATACATCTTAAGGCGTGTGAACGCAACACCAGTTATGCCGATATCTGATAAGTCATACAAACGTCTAAACTTTACAGGAAGTGTTATCATCTTTAACATATGGTAATTAAATAACATATAAGCTACACTTTTAACTATAGCTGCTGTAACTCTAGCACATCTATTAAAAAATGATTCTAACCTGGCGCACTCGCCGCCAATCCGACTCCAAACACCAGAAGTACCGCGGACACTGTCGAGGCACGCATGTTGAGATGATCGGAAAGCTTGGTTCAGGTCTCGTTAAGTACCCATGTATATACACATGATCATGGTGTTACGTAAGTTGTTCTGATAGGCCTTCACCAAAGAGGTGTCAATATTAAATACATTTAGTTCATTTGCCTGGGTAATCTCTTCCCGATGATCAGCGTCACACTTCAAACATACAGAAAACTGTCCAAACACTTGCAAGCTTCTGTATCCAGTCAAGATTCCACATACACCATGACGACCGGACACGTAACAAATGAGTAATTACAAGTAAATATTGTCCAATATCAATGCAATCTGTCACTAACTATAAACTTAGATTATTACTACACTATTCAGCAACATTATCCCCTATCAGCCTGTAGACAGTAAGATAGTCCTGGTACTCCCAGTGGGGCGGGGATAGTAGTTCAGGTTGACTTCCTAAATTTTCTGCCATACAAAATTTTTCATACCTCTTATATTGTCCGTTACCAAGACGTTGATGCAGACTAAGTTCGATAATATGCTGTTTGTCCCCAATATTGTATATAAGAAAGGAAGCCAGAAGCTAGGCAAACATGTTCCCAACGAGCCAACTAACCACTTAAGATAAGATATAGCAGTTAGGGTCTTTGAAGTACGCAAGAATATGTGCATCATCGTACCAATGTCATCTTATTTGATATTGCAATGTCGATCTTATGCGACAAAAAGCAGAGAGAATATATTGGTTAGGACTAGCTGACAGAATGGTGTGTTCTGATGGTAATTCACAGCCGCGTGGAAAGTGATTCCCGCTCTATATTTACAGCAAACATTCCCTATATCATCCCCTTTTGCGTTTATCGATATCTTCTCTGCCTCTCTACAGAAACGTTTAGCAAAAACAGTTGAGTATGTTGCGTAGTTTACTCAGTGGGTATGCACTAGCTGCAGACTGAAGTTTGTAAATGCTTCAACTCTTCAACTTTAGTGTACGCGAAGGGGTGACGATAATCAGGATGATGTAGTACTAGTATGTCGTGGTGATAGAAATGTAATCTAATTGTAAAAAGCACAAGACATCATATCATTGCTGGAGCTCTGCCATAGATCTCTGCTCCGTTTATTTCCCAGCCAATATCGGCTGTAAAACGTGTATGTTTATTTGCCATTATGGCATTGGTACAGCGTGTTGAGCTTCTGCAGATCCAGGTAACTGAAGTCTTGAGCAGCTCCCAGGACGATGCCATTCGTGGAATGCTGCAGAAGTGGGGGTGGGGGGAGTACAATGTTTTAAAAAGGAAACGTTCGTGCGTGTCTTGATAGCGCGAAGGCAGAGTATATACACACTGTCATAATGTGGTGTATGGCCTTGTCTATGCATTGCGAGATAGATAGTATGACATCATGATCAACTTTCCATATCCTGCTAGTTAAGCTCATAACGTTACAAAGGGAGGCGACATACTGCTTACTGCTACAACCACATTCTTGCACTTATTACGTTTCATTCCCTTTTCAAAACCGCCTACCAAGACATACACTGTGTATAAGTTGATAATATACTGTGTCCTTATAACGTGCCTCAGTTTGTGGTGTGCGCTGTACATATATAGTAGCTTACCCTGGGTACGATCACCTGCCTCCCGTTCATGCTGAAGGCGTGGCTCTCGTAGTGCATGATGGATCCATAGTCGTACGCCAGGCCCAGGGTGCGGGTCTCCGAGTGTTTGTCAAAGGCGTGCCAAGAATCTGAGTTCACCAACAAAAAAGTCTGTTGTATCATCTCCCAAATTAATTATCAGCATAAATATCATCTGGGTTCAAGTAACCTGGTTGTGATTGGACCGATAGATAAGATTCAGATTCTGTCTTCAAGATTCAGATTCTGTCTTCGTGCAGGTGAATCAGGCACTGAAGCGTTAATGTCTACGGACATTCAGACTTCTGCACCTGCTCAGAAGTCTAGTCTCTACTCTACGACGTCCCATATCATCTGACTAAAGTAGTGACGACCTGAAATGCTAATTTGACAACCGACGACATAATGCCCCCCGGGTTATCTTCCTTTCGGTAGAAATTCGTTAAAAAAGATAATGATCAGACCTTGAGGCACGTTTTCCAGGTAGATATAGACCCAGTCATCCCTGTCCGGTCGCGAGTGTTCGTGCCAGAAGCCGGCAGCGTGCATCAGCTCGTGCATGATGGTCGCCTTCCCGAGACAGCCGTCACCGAGAGACACTTCCTGGGCCCCGCCCTGAACACCCACATAGGCATGGCAACTACGGAAAATGAATAATATAATATAATATAATATAATATAACTCTATCACTCTGGTCTTCCTCAGTAGGCTGACCCAGTGAGGCTTGTCACGCGGCTTCTTTGAAGTGTTACGTCTAGGTGAGAGCTTTTCGTGTTGGATCTGCGGTTTTACCATTTTGTCATCAGTATATCGAGAAAAAGAAAAGTACCCTGTACTCCTCCTGATGTGGATGTAGTTCTGTTCGTTAGTTCGGGGTACAAAGCGGATGCAGGTCCTCCGGTGGAACTCCTCCATAGCGGCTTGAATCCGACCAACCTCCGACCCGGCTGAGGCAGTTTGAAGAGTCGTGCCTGCAGATAGAAAAGGGTGTCGTCACATCTGGTTTGAAAATCGTGATGAACTCAGTTGGAATCAACTTTTCTTAACGGGGTTTTTTTTTAGGTGCATCTGTTTGAATGTTTGCTTATGTGTCCGTTATTTTCACATGCTAGACACGTCGGAGGCACAGACAGGAAGTTAGTTTACTCCTGTAAGCATTTCACAATACTGAATAAAACAATAAGAAATTCACAATACTGAATAAAACAAGAAATTCGCCAAAACGGAGGTATGACATCTTCGATTTCTTGATTTAGTAGAGAGATCTTACCCATATGAACAGATCGTTACGTACCCCCGTTGTTGTTGTTGTTAGTTCCCCCGCCCCCACCACACAGGTTGCAGCTCAGCAGGCAGTTCTGGTGCATGTAGTCGGCGCTGTTGGTACACTCGCCCACACTGGCCCAGTACCCACAATGCTCGTGGTTATCCGTACAGGCTGTGAGTAAGATCAAGATAAGATCAAGTAAGTTAATGTTCAATGAGGCATGGGTTTGGTTCTGATTCTTCAAGCATCATGATCTTACATGTTTGTCCATGCTTACCTGAAATATACGATACTGACCTGATCAGTGATACTGATACTGACGATATTGACCCTATGTTACAATACATTTGCATTTCACGAAGATGTCTTATAAATTGATATTAGGCACTTTGGGCACTTTTGCATCTCAACTGCAAACGACCCCTATTCTGTCGACGTAATATTTTCTGCGATTTGGCAGAAAAGACCCGAATGATATGGTTGATAAGAAAGTCCACTTCACCTCCCCCACCCCCGCCACCGCCACACAGTCCGCAGCTGAGCTGGCAGTTGGCATTCATGTAGTCAGCGCTGTTCTGGCACTCTCCGGTACCAGCCCAGTAGGAGCACCACTCATTGTTGTCGGTACATCTTGCTATCGTTCAACAGTATAGTTATTGATTAGATATGTAAACAGCATTTCTGGGTAATGATCTTTTAGACATCGGTCCGTATGGTGTATCATCGATTCATCGTCACTACTGGTATGCATTTTGTTGTATCAGTAACAAGTACATCATAGCATTTGCAACAACAAGTACATATTTTTCAACATAAATCTATAATGGTGACAGTGGCCGCGTAAGCAGGTATACCAGAATATGTGGCCGTAAACTAGCTAATCTCCAAACAGATGCAAGCTTATAAGGATCCGGCTCATTTAGGTGATTTAACTTTCTAATACTATCTACAACAGTATCTTTAATGAGCCGGATCCTTCATCTGCTTTACTAGTACTACCCATGAAGTACACGGACTACGAAAAATGAGTTGTTGCGTACCGGTAGCGGAGCGGCCACACATGCCACAGCTCTGCGGACAGCTGCCCTGCATGTAGGCTGGGCTGTTGGAGCATTCTCCCACGGAGGCCCAATACGCACAGTTACCGTCAGTGTCAAAACAGGAATAGCCTAAAGAGAGAGAAAAATCAATCGTGTGGATTTTCGAACAACCCGAGATTATATAAATTCTCTGACCATACATTACAATACAGACATTTCAGTTCTACATTTTTAGTTTAACGAAGCGCGTTATTTTTATGATGTTTCAATAGTGAAGAATATGGCATGATGATGAGGAACTTACTGTATTCACTACCGATGACGTAGGGAATCACTCCATTTGGCCAACGCGTTGCATCTTGGATGGCATTACGGGAGTTCTGAAATAGTTGTGAAATAGTTTAAAGGAAATTCAATACATGGGCATTAAAATATATCCTATACAGATAATACAGGTGTATTGCATCTGATTGCACCTGAAAACCCCAAGGCCATTGCTGATGCAATTAACGACGTGCTGTCCCAGGTGACACGATCACTCCCACCGTTGGACCTCGAACGACTACCAGCCTTCCTTCCAGCAATGCCCCCACCAGTTATCACACCACGGGACATGTACGAGAAACTGAGAAGAATAAAAGTAAGGAAAGCGCCCGGTCCTGATGGTCTGCCCAGTAGGATTATCAAGGAATTCGCATACGAATTAAGTTTGCCAATGTCTGACATCATCAATTCCTCATTGTTGGAAGCACATGTACCCGTGCAATGGCGCGAAGCCAACATAGTCCCACTTCCGAAGACATGCCCTCCAGACATTGATGAACTGCGGCCAGTGTCTCTTACACCAATCCTCGCCAAAGAAGCAGAGAGCATCATTTGCTCATGGGTACTTAAAGACATCGCTCCCAACATAGACCAGTACCAGTTTGGGTGTTTAAAAGGGAAGTCAACTACTCACTGTCTGGTAGATATCGTCCACCAACTAGCCAAGACATCTGATCAACCGGGCTCAATAAGCACACTTGTACTCACCGACTTTGCTAAAGCATACGACAGACGTGGACCATACGATTGCTGTGTCGAGCATCCTAACTCTAGGCCTGCGACCTTCATTGACCAACTGGCTCATCAGTTTCCTGACGAACAGAAGACATAGAGTCCGTTACAGCAACACCTTCTCAGATTGGAGAAATACAACATGTGGTCTTCCACAAGGGACTGTGCTTGGTCCCATTATCTTTCTGGCGCTGATAAACAGCGCTGCCGAGAACGCAGTCTCCATGAGATGGAAGTTCGTTGACGATTTAAACTTACTTGAGTGCCGCAAGGTGAGGGAACCTCCCGCTATTCAGCAAGATCTCGACGAGCTCAGCAAATGGTCAACAGGACAGAATATGAAACTCCATCCCAAGAAATGTAAAGTGATGTATCTGAATTTTTCAAAATCTGTACCACAATACCCTCACTCAAAATCGAAAACTATCCCCTAGTACAAGTCAAAGTGGCAAAACTTCTGGGTCTTCATATCCAGTCTGATCTGAAATGGAACACTCAGGTCGACCATATGGTCAAGAAAGGAAACCAGAGGCTATTCTTCCTGAGGAGACTCAAGACATTTGGAGTTACGAGTGACGACCTTGTCACCGTATATACAAGTTTTGTACGCCCGACCTGCGAGTATGCAGTTCCAGGCTGGCAACCGGGCATCACTCAAACTCAGAGACTCCAACTGGAAAGGATACAACGCAGAGCGTTCCGCACCATTCTCGGGGCACACTACACAAGCTACACGGACGCTTGTCACACCCTAGGCCTCACGACGTTGCACCAAAGACGCGAACACCTGTGTGAGACTTTCGCTAAAAAGCTCCTACAGTCAACCTGCTTCCGTGAGTGGCTACCTCCCTGCCGAGGAGAGATTAGCGGTAGAAAGACACGCAACAGCTCCCACTTGGACACTGTCAAAACAAAAACCGAACGCTACAAAAAAAGTCCTATACCTTACATGGTAGCACTACTTAATATGTCTTAGTCGTTTACCGAAATATTGTAAATAGTTTTTTATGCCTGCTGACTGTGGTTTTAATCTTCTTAAAAATGAATTTTTAGCCTTTATTGTAATAATGACAGATATTTTATTGATGACTGCTCCGAGAATATATTCCGCACGATGTAAAGCATTATTAACTAGTTGATCGTAAGTACAGTAACCTTTATTCAAATATGAGTAATTTCAAATACCTGGCGAATTTCCGTGTAATAATGTTTTAGTGATTGAATATCAGTACATCATGAGTTAACTATTGTATAACCAGTGTAATTCAGCGCGCAATTTTGTGCGCTGCGAAACTGTGTTTTTTTTACTGTGAGAATGAAATAAACCAATCACTACATTCACTTGGTGGCAACACATGACATTTTAGTCTATTAAAACAAAGCAAATGGCTGATCTAATTATTTGATGTCTACGTAAAAGCAACACGGTTCACTAGGAGGGTTCATGAGATTCTCAGTGCTACAAGTGACGTATAATTATTCTCCAAGCACATGTAAGCGCACTACCTCTGTACCACGTACGCGTATTAGATTTGTTACTCACAGGATCCAGACCATCGATGTCGCCTTGGTACAGGTTCAACCCTGTGTATTGGTCAAGATGACCACAGAGATTATCAGAAATTATCATTTAATGCAGCTAAAATCAAGGAACAACAAAACGTCTTTCCAACGCTATTATGTCAACAAATATCTTTTAAAGTTAGTTGTGTTTAACATTGAATTGTCACCTTTTTTTACGTCATCAAAGAAACTACATATACTTGAAAACCAAACAGCACCGATCCACGCCGGCCGCCTGTAACGCTTACCCTCGTTTGCCTCCAGGATGGCCTTGGTGACAGTCTGTGGTTCCGGCGGGGTCCGGCGGCCGTCGGCTGGGTGCAGAGAACAGAACATACAGAACATACATACAGGCTTCATGGCTTCAAGGATACACAAATGCTGTACAAAGCATGAAAATATCGATGTACAAAAAGGTACGTAGTCGACGAAGATTGCACCAATCAGGTGGTCAGAAAAGAATGTCAATGCGCGTTAGTTGGGAGTAGGGTGGAGCATGGATATTTGTAGGATCACCTTGTACATCCGGGCATCAAAGTGACAAATGTTTTGTTAATATATGGAGGGATTACATAATACCAATCTGTCACTCGAAGTGATTTCAGTCATTCAGATTGGCAGGCAGTCTAATCCTTGTTCTACCAGAGACGTAGATGCCATTTCATCGAAAGTCCACTGTATTCCAGCGTACAAAATATCTTTCATACTACTTGATCTTCATAGCATGTTGATGTTGATGACGGTTTTCATGCTTTGCATCTTCAACTTGAAACAACGCTGTCACATGTTGGAGCCAAGTGTGTTCAGAATAACTAACCAACAGTGCCCTCCAAACAGGGTCATTTTCACCACGGAGCCTGTGTGAACTGAACAGCTGCACACCTGGCAGTTTTATGTCACCGCCCACCAGTTAAGCTTACACAATGCAAAGACAGTAGAATATGTATATATACTGCCATATCCCCAACTTACAAAAGAAAAAAGGTAATATGATGTCTCTGCAGTTATTATAACTTGGGAAAATACAAGTTTATCTTTAAGTAATATTAGAATCTTTTCATCATGAATTACTAAAACATATACCATAAAAATGGATGGAGGTTGTTTGAAAGTACGGCGTCAGAATAAAGTATTCTACATTTCAAAATTGCTATCCTGAATGTACGTATGTGTTGGAATTGAACGCTAGGTTCTGACATCTACAGTGACAGTTCTACAGTTTGTATACTAACCTGGCGCGCTGGCCACCAGTCCGGCCCCGAGCACCAGAAGTACGGCACAGACAGGCAATGTGTTCATGTTGAGACAATTAGCAAGTCGGACTGGGTCTCAATTATCACAGAGCACGTACTTGTATTTATACACACCTTCATGATTCGTTCTTAAGATCGAACATCTACAGAAAAGTCAACAAAGGTAAGTATAAATAGTGCGTTGGTACATAATGATCGCTATCAGATGTTTTGCGTCATATTACTCAAACATAAAGAAAAGTGATCAAACTCTACTAGAGTCGTTCTCTAGGATAGATTATCGGTGGTATATTGACACTATGACATTATGACATAAGAGCTTGGACATTATGACATAAGAGCTTGGACATTATGACATAAGAGCTTAAGCTTGGGTTTAATAGCAAGGTCATCTGCTGTCATCCAGGTGACTCCCTTGTGCCACGTGAATAAGATCGTCTGGCGATTCCCACAACCGTGAGTTGTATACGTAAGCAAAGCGTGTGTTTGTGTGTGTGTAGTTTTATTATTGCCATTTGTGATATGTAGACTGATAGGGAATAGTTCGATCACGACAGAAGAGGCGATTCGTGCCGCATGTATCTTTATTGACGTGTGCCTGAGCAGCCGTACAGCGTGTTGACCTTCCGCACGTCCAGATCGTTCAGACCGGCGTCCGTCCACCAGCCCAGCACCACGCCGTTCAGCGCACGCTGTGTGGAGACATCCAAAAAATACACATCAGAATGACTGTATTTTAGATGTCTAGAGGTGATAGCCATTCACAGAATGACCACATGATGTCGGCTACTTCTACAAAGAACCCAGGTTGATTCGGATTAACTAATTGTTACCATTTCTCGGACATAAGCATAATTCCTTCTTACAAACCTGTATGTATGAACTTAAGTTTCATATTAATACAATAGAAAGACGCGCAGATAGCTTAACACGAGAGTTAAATACTAGCTGCTGAAGAGGACACTGACACAATTGTAAAGAAAATCCCAACTACGTAAAGTATGAACTCCAATGCTACGGAAATGGCAAACTCGATACAAATATCCGCACAGTCCACAAATCAATAGATTTAAGAAAATGATATCAATCAATGACGTGGGATGTGCCCTTTGTTTCAAGTTGAAGAAACGTGCGAGCAAACCTTGGCAGAAATGGTCTCCCTGCCGTTCACACTGAAGGCGTGGCTGTCGTAGTGCATGACGGAACCGTAGTCATACGGCAGGCCGAGGGTTAGGGTCTCAGGATGCTTGTCAAAGGCGTGCCACTGGTCTGGAAGCAACCAATCGCAAGGGTTCGTATTGTGAACAGTTGAGACAATCTATCGGTGACCTCCAGAACTACGCTACCGTTGCTCGAATACGTATTGGTTCGCCGCAATTTTCATTGGGAGAAGGCGGTGCCATCAGAACAGTGGTGAAAATAAAAACATTATCTATACGTCGGGTGCTACTTCTTTTAAGAACATTTTTTTAAATGTTAATTTTAACCTTGTTAGCCTTTTTAGGTCATTTTGTGTGTATTAGGGGTGGGGTGGGAGTGTGGGTCCTCTCTCAGCTCTCTCTCCCTCTCTCGCGCTTACCTCTGTCTGCGTTGTGGAGGTGGATGGTGACCCACTCGTCCCTGTCCGGACGGGAGTGCTCGTGCCAGAAGCCCACGGCGTGCATCAGCTCGTGCACGATCGTGCCGCTCCTCAGACAGTCCACGTGCAGGGACAGGTCCTGCAGACCGCCCACGCGGCCGACCTGGGAATGGCAGCTGGACATCGGAAAACGCGCGTGAGGTTACTCGAGGGAAAAAAACACAGACATTACACCATAGCACAAACAGTCCTGACCATTCTATCCTGACAGCTGCATTGTCTATCTGTCACACTGCACTACAGCATTACCTGCTATGTGATATTTTCACCTGTCAAAAAAGGGTATCAATTTCGAACATGGATCAAGTCACTACAAAGTCACATTAGGGTTGCAAAACTTCATAAAGATACGATTATATCAATTTTATTTATCAATAACACCGGTCACTTGCCACAGGTGTTTACAAAACAATTTTGCACGAAACAGGCAATCACTCATTTTCAAATTCATTTTCAAAATAGTTTAGAAAATATAAATTCCATGATATTTTTTAACAACAAGACACATGTATTCGTCGTACCCGTCTAGTTTCCTGATGAGAACGTAGTCCTGGGCGTCTGGAGTCCTCGGGACGAAGTGAACACAGGTCCGGGTGTTGAACTCCTTTATACCGTCCATGATCATTCCGGCTTCTGACCCAGGCGCTGAGGAGCAAGAGTGAAGAAAGTAAAAAGGTCTGACTAACATTTACACATTGTTCATGACATGGAAGATATAAATCAGTCTATCTTTACACGAGACGGGGGTATCTAAAATGATCACAACATATCTTAATAAAAACGCAGCTATCCATGAAGAGACTGTATCGACGCTAGCTCACCGATGGGGACATGGCAGACCCCACAGCTCCAAGGACAGTTGTAGGTCATGTACTCCTGGTACTGCGGGTTCGTACACTCCCCCTCCCCCGCCCAGTACGCACAGTCCACGTTCGTGTCGTTACAGGTCTCGTAACCAGGATCTGCTCAGGAGAAAACATTTTGGGTTTGGCCAGAAAAGTACATTACCTTGCACCAGTCCATCCGGTATTAACTTGCTCCTTAACTACCAAGAGACATACTATCATGAAAGTTCATCTGTACTGTGATGGTAGTTACATGTTTAAAGTTAACACTTTTGATGGAACACAATTTAATTTTAAAACGTTCTCTCACCTAGAGCTTTCGACCAGTCACCAAGAGATACTCGTATATTGTATTCGTTCAAACACGGAAAACTGGATTTGTGTATTATATACAACACCGAGCAGATTATTATTGGAATGAGCAGAGCACTTTGGACTAATGCCTCTAACCGTTTACAGCTTAGAGGTATAAATCCAATCTTTTGTCAAAAACTTCTCTGTTACATAGCGGATCATAATGACCCCCAGCGGGGGTCTTCACGCTTTGTTGAAAATTGAAAAATCTCAAGATTTGTTCCAAAGATCTCAATATTTTATACGAAATCTTGATATTTTTCATGACAATCTCAAGATCTTTCATAAAATCTTGAGATGAAAATGAAAAGGTCTCAAGATCTTTCCAAGATCTTTTCAAAGAATCTTGAGATTTTTTTCATAGTATCTCAAGATGCTTTGAAAAATATCAAGATTGTTTAAATGATCTCAAGATTTATAAAGCAATCTTGAAAGAAATGTTGAAATGGCTGCCTTAACTTGATATGAATCATTATCAAAAGTACTCCGACTACTTCTGTTGTTACATCGGGTATCAATTCAGACCAGTTGAAAGGGTTTTATATAAAAAAAAAACTTAACGGTAACCTTGCTATATTGGTTGAGCGATCAAATCTTCATATACACTCTTGTGGGATACAACTGATTTCTTTTGCCATGCATTCAAGAGTTGGGTGTAATGATCTTTCCACAATTAATGGACCCTTTACATCACAGCAATGTGAAAATTGTGGAGAAAGCTGAGTGTGTGTAATAATACATATGGAATACAACACGGTGTATTCCGTATCGCTCGAGGTACCAGCCCGACCGCGCGTCGGATCGCCCGACGGCCGAAGGTCGGAGGGAGATCCGATCCGCGGGAGGGCTGGGACCGAGGGTGATACGGAATACACCGTGTTGTATTTTATTTATGTCATACCCACCCAAGAAAACCAGCCTTTCAATGCGAAATGAGCGAAAAGTTAGGTCCCTAAACCCAAAAAATGCGACAACATCAATTCCAACGTCCGGATTCTGTATTCGAATTTCGAAATCGGCACACGCGGTTAGGCCGAAACGCGTTCGAATCGTTCTATGGAACATTTGGAAGGCCCGGGCCGTACGCGTTAAGAACCCCCAGGCCGTACCGCTAGTTATCACACGGGCCGGACACCCGTATCGAACGTAATCGCAGCCCAGGTAGGACATAAATGTACGTATGGGAAACTTCCTGACAGAATTGTCTTCAAACATGATAAGAGTGTACATTTCTATTTTCTTCATATCAAAAGTACTCCGACTGCTTCTGTTGTTACATCGGGTATCAATTCAGACCGGTTGAAAGGGTTTTATATAAAAAAAAAACTTAACGGTAACCTTGCTATTTTGGTTATAAAGCGATGTTCATATACACTCAGCCGTACAAATCTTTTACCATGCACTCAAAAGTTAGATGTAATTTTTTTCCCACAATCTACGGACCATTAGAGTAACATTACAGAAGTTTGAAAATTGCAGGGAAAGATCAAAGAACATAAAAGAATTATACATATTGAATTGCATGTGATATGATCAATCACAGACTAGAAGTTAAGTACTGGTCACTTCTCAAACTGGCAAATCGCTTTTGGTGGGGCAGCTCTCCTCTCCTTGGTCTATAAACCAGGGGCTAATTAATCCCAGATCCATCCCTGCCATCAGAGTCTTCCCATAAAAATACATTCCTCTCAGTCTGTCTATCCTGTTTTCAGGCCTTTTCAGTTTAGCAGTTTCTCGGATGACTGCTGAGAATAAACATGAAGATGATACGGAAGTAAGTTATGATAGGAAAGTGATTTTTAGGAATGGATATCGAAAAGTGTTATACCGGTATCCAACTGTTATAAAACAGTACTCAAACAGTGCATGTAGGGTAATGTTGTGGTGGATCTGGGTTCAATTAACGGCTAGTCCATCAAGGGAATTTTATGCCAGCTTTCAAAGTTTTTGTATGAAAAGTGAATCAGTTGGTCCACAGAAAAGTTTTTTTTCCCAAAAATGATACAACCCAATTACCGACTGTAAATTTACATATATTGTTATGCTAACATATCCTCCTAACCCTCTGTTGCAATTTTGCAATTTTATCCAAGTTGCTAGATGTTAGCCTGGGTACCATCCTATTTGTATGCCGGGGCTAAAATATGTACAATAGGTGTTCATTAATGGTTGTATATGTTGATCGTGGGCTCTTTTTTCTTGATATCCTACATGTACATCATGGCAGAACTGCAAACAGCAGTCAAAGCTATGTCAAGCTGGTGGTCAGGAACTCTGGAGGATGGGTGTTGTCACAGGGTAGGGGGTCCTGCCTGCAACTAATTAACCCACTCAAGCTGATCGTATTTTCCTTGAGAAAGAAGCCTTGAGAAAGAAGCCGTTTCTTCAAGTTGGTACATATTTTGAAGGAATCTTGATTTCGTGCATGAAAGCTGTTGTTACTAATGTTACAAATGACAGTAGATTAGTCTTTAAAAATTAGAGTTGGAGTGAAATTTGTGTACTGTACCCCCATCTAGTAGACAGATCTGCTCAACTTAAAATCATGGGAGTCTATTATGATCCGATGTATCCTGTACATTGCTACTGTTAGTAAGTAACTCTCACTCACTGACTACTGTCCGGTTTGTCGTCTGTTGTTCCCCGTAACCTTCCCCACAGTGTTGACAAAATGCCACTGTGTATGATTTAGATAAAAGACACTTTTTCTGTCTTACGTATTTTCATAAAAAGAATAATTTCAAAATAGTTAACTGAGTCAAGCTTTGTCACAGTTGCTTGATCAAGCCCTGTCATGGTTGGTAAATCTTGTGAGGGAAGCATGGAGTGGAGGAAATGACTTCTCCTCCTTATCAATTAAAAACCCATCAAAAACCCATTAACAAGTCATCTCTAAACTAAGCCAGACCAGCTACCCTTTCAAAGCCCTACCCTTCAAATGGGCACAGTCAGAGACTGGAGACTTTTTCACGATGTTTTCCAACTATTCGTTAGGCCTATGAAACAATTTATGAAAAAAAAAACTCTTTTGAGGGCTATGGAATGGTTGGAGGGTACCGGTGGGAAAGCTAAACTAGCTGGGTCCTAGCTATCTATATGGGTCCAAAGTGGTCTAAGACATTTATTCTTATTATAATCTACAGGACCTCTAGTGATCTTCCTGTTGCACACCCACGACCTTAACTAAATGAACCTATAATAGCAAAATGTGTATATACTGTATCTGAAAGTCACATAGTGGCCCTCTCCGTACTTAACAGTGAGTCGACGTCACGCCAACATTCTTTTCAATCTGTCCACATTGTGTTTTCGAGCAGAAATGCTGTATTCTAGACTACCTAGTTCTTGTGAGAATTATTTGTTAAAATAATCATCATACCGATATGACGTATAGATCTAATGTACTTCCGAGAAATATTCCCAAAGTACTGAAAATGCGACTGTTTTTTACGACCATTACGTGACCATTGTCATCATTAATATTGACCACAGAAAATATGGATCAGTGATTATAAATATCATTATATTCATACTAAACTCCAAAATCTTCATAGTTTCCTGGAAATGACCTGGATATTGGGACTTGGGAGAGTATGCTCGTTATCTGCACGTTTGTCTCGAGTACAATGCACTGCCCGATCACAGGGCAAACAGTACTTACTAGTATACATAGAATACTGTCGGGATTCGCTACGAGTTCATCACAATTTCGGACCGATGCACACCTCAAGAGGTCACTGCCTGTCAAGAGGTTTTGGAATGACACAAAGATGGGTTTTTAAAATCAGTTTGTACAAAAGCTGTAGGTTTACAATGTATGTATACATGTAACAAGTATGGCAGGGTAACCATTTCCCATCAAAGGGACAAAATCCCTCCAACTGGTCTGAATTAATACGCAATGCTACAACAATCCTGGTCTGGGTACCTTTGATGATAATATTATCGATATTGAAAGAGATTTACAATATTTCTCTCAAGATTTCTTGATAAATCTTCAGATTGTTCAGAAAAATCTAGAGGTCTATTGAAAAATATCAAGATTGTCTTGAAAGATCTCGAGATTTAGCAATAAATCTTGATATCTTTGAAATAAATCTGGATATATTTTTCAGTGAACTTGTTAAAAGAGCAAGAAAAAGCAATTGTTGAGTTATATACCCAAGGTATATCGCCATGTTACTACTGTATGGGCCGTCTGTGTGTGTGATACTGGATCTGACATGAGGACAGGTGCGCTGTTCCGTGGTTGCTACCATGTTATCGTGGGTCATAATAATAATGATTTCAAACAACGTTTCTATTAGAGAAGATTAAAAGCACTACAAGTCTGGCAAAATCTGTAGTGGCGAATCAATAATTTTATGTGCAATTCATCTGCCGTGTACCTACGGTTGTCCCGGGTATGCTCACCTAACCTTAACCCAAGACATGTGACCACAGCTTTGTACATTAGAACTATTGCAACTGTTTTTCTCAAACCTACGACGTAGAGGTGTACGGCGTTATCGTCGTGGACAAATATGCGGTATAGGAAAACTGACCAGAAAGTCATTATAATATGACTGACGCAAATATGGTGATATTTTCAATCATTAAAAAGACGACGTGGGTCATGGAAAGAGTTATTGTCTTACGGGAAGGGCTGTTGTTCTCAGTAGATTGCCCAGGAAAAGCGCTGTCACCTGTTGTTCATCGATCGTCCTTCAGCCTTAAGGATATATCTGAACAGATTTCAACTGCAACATAGTTGCACGACCGTCATAAAAATGCAGATTCTACTGGCCAATAGGCTGAGTTTTTCAAGCCTAATAAAGCTGGACTACATTGTAAATGTCCAACGTTTTGCATTAGTTTTGCAGGAGAGTGCCGACAAGTTCTATTGCATCAAAAGTGTTGTTTGAATCTACATAGTGAGGCCCCCACTGTATTTGCTGGCAATGGCCTTCACCGTATGATAGTTCTCTGAATACAATTTTTAACTCTTACCGATTTAGAAATTATGATGATTCTTAGAACTGAACAAGCCAAACGCTAGCACAAAGTAGTAACACAAATTACAGTTGAATTTTGTGCTCATGACTGTCCTAGGAAATCACACATTTTTGCTGTCATTTACAAATTTGTAGTGTTACACAACCTACGATAGAAATGTACACTTGTCTTCTTGAACATCAACTTCTCTTATCATGTTTGAAGACAATTCTGTCAAGACGTTTCCCATACGTACATGTATTATTACACACACTCAGCTTTCTCCACAATTTTCACATTGCTGTGATGTAAAGGGTCCATTAATTGTGGAAAGATCATTACACCCAACTCTTGAATGCATGGCAAAAGAAATCAGTTGTATCCCACAAGAGTGTATATGAAGATTTGATCGCTCAACCAATATAGCAAGGTTACCGTTAAGTTTTTTTTATATAAAACCCTTTCAACCGGTCTGAATTGATACCCGATGTAACAACAGAAGCAGTCGGAGTACTTTTGATAATGATTCATATCAAGTTAAGGCAGCCATTTCAACATTTCTTTCAAGATTGCTTTATAAATCTTGAGATCATTTAAACAATCTTGATATTTTTCAAAGCATCTTGAGATACTATGAAAAAATCTCAAGATTCTTTGAAAAGATCTTGGAAAGATCTTGAGACCTTTTCATTTTCATCTCAAGATTTTATGAAAGATCTTGAGATTGTCATGAAAAATATCAAGATTTCGTATAAAATATTGAGATCTTTGGAACAAATCTTGAGATTTTTCAATTTTCAACAAAGCGTGAAGACCCCCGCTGGGGGTCATTATGATCCGCTATGTAACAGAGAAGTTTTTGACAAAAGATTGGATTTGTACCTCTAAGCTGTAAACGGTTAGAGGCATTAGTCCAAAGTGCTCTGCTCATTCCAATAATAATCTGCTCGGTGTTATACACGTATTTCATTGCCCCTTCTAACACATTGACGAAATCTAGATTGGACAAGCAGTGAGCTTATTGAAGTGTTGCGTGTTACCGTTGAATCCGTTTGCAACTCGACGGTATCACCCAGTCCTGTGTATTGGTAGGTAACCAAACTGCCCTAGTTGATACATGCATATTCTAGACTGACCGCGGGACGAACATTGATCCAGTACCTGCCTGACACACCCCACAGCTCAGACGACATCTAGAGTTCATGTAGAGGGGTGTGTTCACGCATTCCCCGATACCGGCCCAATACGCACAGTTCTCGTGTTCATCAGCACAGTCCATCCCTACAGAGTTTTAAAAATTGGTTTAGTTTTAGTCAGTAAAAAATGCTCGAGCTTTTATAGATATGCTGTGTGATGTGTCATCATTTTAATCGACCTGTGTTCTGTTGTATGTTACACATGTATACAGTGTTCAGAGCAGAGAAACTTTAAAATTCAAATGCATAATGGTGGAGCTGGATTAAAAATAAAAAAATAAAAAATAGGTCTTCATTCCCTTATAATCTCAGGTAGAAATTGACTTATGATTTAATTGGAATGAGATAAACAAAACGACAAAGTGTTAGAAAGCACAGCACACTGTCACATACTTACTGTACTCGCTACTGATGACGTAAGGGATGACTCCTCTCGGCCAGATCTCAGAGTTCAAAATCGCATTTCGGGAATTCTGGACATGAAGCACAGAGGTTTATTCCTTGTGTAAAACGTATTCTCAATGGTCACTCATTCAATTAAGGCCGGTGAACCTAACATACACCACAATTTAATCATCGTATTTAATCATATCAGATTTATCAGTAATATTTGGTGACATACTCTTAGTCTCTACACACCTATCCTTGTGTGAGTGTATTGGTTTCTCGGCTTAGATTGTTTTGCAGCTGATATATATATCTATTTAGAACACAGACCTGTCTGTCTCCCTCATTGTCTTTAACCTCCCACACTGATTCTCTATTGGCTATGGAGTTAGGCAGCAGGATGAAGGTTAAAAACGTGCATGTACCTACTTGACAACCACTGTTTATCTTCAGAACGTAATGACTGTTAGCAAAAGCTGTTTAAATACTCACGGGATCCACGCCGGCAATGTCGCCCTGGTACAGGTTTAGTCCTGCACAACAGAGCGTCCAAAACTGTCTTCATGACATTTTGTAGTAGCTGTCGCTTACCTTTTAACGTCATAATGACATAGTGCGATCTACAACTAAAATCTTTTATATACTTGCATATAATATAAACATATGGTCAGCGATGAAACGAATATGGAATACTGGTCATTTGTTCTAATGCTCACGGTATGTCATATCAATCAACAGTTGAATTCGTCGACAATCGCGGCTTTATATCTTCTAGAAATAATGGGAGAAAAGAAACGTACGACGGCATAATTGCACTATTTGATAATCGACTAGTTACATTAAGGTGCAATCTAGAATGTCGATGTATTGTCAGTAGAATGTTGGATAAAATTTAGTATTACAGGTAACCAAGATAACGGCGTCTAAACGTCTGTCAAAAAGGAATACCAGCATCCCGGACTTGACCCCTCACCTTGGTTGTGACGTAAGATGACTTCCATGCCCATCTCCGGCCTCGCCGCCCGTGCCGGGCTTCTCTGTGCTGTGAATATGGGGTGGGCAGAAGTTCAATAATGCACATGTGCGGCAAATGAATACTTCAGACTCATTTAGATACCTTTAGCTTCGTTGCACAACCCCGAAAGAAACATTTTTGGAGCCAAGAACATAAATAAGTTTTAACATATGGAGCATCCTGATGTTTGGAAATACATCTTATAACGCGTACGTATCTGATCATTTTTCCCTCACAGTTTTATATACACGGTGACCAGTCAGTCATGTGTAAAGCTGCGACCAACAGATCGATGGATGTCAGTTTTTCGTTAAAACGTTTACAATGAAGCAAAGCGAACAAAAAGAAAGTTCTACTTACAGGGTAAGCTTGTTACCGCATCATTGCATACGCAGAAAACCACAGCGATAAGCAGAGGAACATGCATGATGCAGCACCAGGTACAGTACTACAGACGAGTCCCGTACAGCAGAAATGAAGCTGACCGCTCCCGCCTGCATGGCCTTCACACACTTTCTCCTGCACGCGGCCTCTATGGTGCATTCTACTGCGCATCTTGTTTCGTATCATGTCCAAAAAATAGATTTAAGATTCATCGTTGATGTCCATGAGATTAAAAATAGATAATGTGATACCTAATCACATGTTCTTAAAAACCCAATGAGAAATATATGAAACGAGTAGTCTATAATATAGATATTGCTACATATATGTGATGTTTTAGATCAAGAAAAGTACCATAGATTTTTGACACACAACAGGGTTTAGTCAAACAGTTCTCTGGTGCCTTAAGTCTTCCGTTGCCACTGATAACTTGGCTATTTCAGTCCTACTACAATCATGTGGTTTCCTACACCAAATAGTCACCACCACTAGACATCTGCTAGTTTCACAGGCCTATCAAGGACAGATATCACTCTTAACCAAGGCATATGTACAATATATATCTTCCAATAACATCTACCATTCTATCAACTCATTTTGCTTTTCATGTACATGTATGAAAGAAATACAGTAATATGCAGTTAAGCCAATAAAGCCAATGACTTTGCTAAGTAACAAGAATGATTGTTCACATAGTGCTATGAAATATGACTGAACTGTGGACACTTGAGTACAATGTACACCATCGATTAAGGCATCCTTAAGCCTTAACCATACATATTTGACACATTTGTATTCAAACCAAAGACATGACATACCTGTATGTAGGTTATTGACTACAGTGTACATTTCAAATAATCGAAGTGCAGATAAAGACACAACTGATAGAGGTCTCTTCTGCACTGATGTTTGGTACCTTCTAACCTCACTCAAATCAGACATGTATCAGTATGTTCTACTAGTACTACCACGTACGTATGAGGTTGCAGGTGATTCATACTGAAATCTTTCACCACTGCTGTGGAATCAAAAACATCAACTCAGTGGATCTTATCTTACTCTGTTTATTCAATCAATTCTTTATTGAAACAGTCTGGAACAATATACAATGTACAAACATCATCAGAACATTACTTCTTGCCATCCATACTCCCTGTCTGACTGTAGCAATTTGTTGACATTACAGAGATGACAGAAATGTCTAGACAGAAATAAGGACTGTAGACATCTTCAGGCAGTTTTTGAAGATTGCCATACTTTTCTTTCGTTATACTGCTTGTTGTACTAAAAATACTTCCCAAATAACTGTTCTCCTGTAGTTGGGAGTTGGTGAGAAGTGACATTTAAGAGCAGCTACAGTTCTGACTGCCAAACAGACCCAGTGTGAGTCTGTCATGGTTCTTTGAGGTCAGGCTGCCTGAATCTCTGCTCCATGTCCTTGTTCTGGGCGTGTTGTTTCAGCATGTCCATTACCTCATGGTTGTACTCCTCAGGGGTGGGCTTCACACCTGCACAAAGACAAGAATGATTTGTAACATTACTGATCTACGATTGCTTGCTATAAGTCATGGCTTAGGTTATTGGCTTGCATGTGACAGACTGTGACCTATAAGGTTATGTAACATTACTGATTTCTATTCTAATTGCTTACTATAGGTCATGTAAGGTTACTGACCTATCATCCAACTCATGCAATATTACTGATCTATGATCCCTTGCTATAGGTCATATAAGGTTGTTAACCGATGACCCACTATTAAAAGTTGTATAAGGTTACATATTACTAGTACCTGTGACCCAGTAGTAGATCTCCCAGTCATTACTTGGCTCATTTATCAGACGATCATAAAGTTTCAGCTGTTGTTCATCAAGTTTGTTGAGGTAGCGGTCTGCAAATGTGCTGGGGAGACAAAAATAAGACATGAAGTTCAGTTTACTCTGTTAGTGTTCTCTGCATTAAGATAGCTTGTAAAGAAAGAAAGAACAGTCATTAACACAATAGCACATATGGTACTCTTACTGGATTTAGCAGACAAATTCATCATCATCATCAATAGCTATACTAGTAGCTGCTGCTTTCACCATAGCCTGGGGGTCTGAGAGCTGGAATTTTCAATAGGCTTCTTTTTTTTCAAATACTAGTACACTGTACTACCACACCAGGTTTCTAAATACAGCATGGCAGACCTACACAAACATACCTGAACAAGAGTCCATTTTCCAACATGCCCCTCTTCCTACTCTGATATAACAACCTGGCCCTCCTAGTTTCAAATGGTTCGTTCTCCTTGGGTGAATATGTTGGTATGGCAGGTTCCATGGACATGACTATGTCCAGTCTGTCCATAGGGGGGTCTGAGGGAGGTTCAGAGTCTTTCCCCGAGGTGTAAGGTCGGACCATGGAAACTGGTGGTGGCACTCTCGTGTTGAGTAACCATGACTGGAAAAAAGTAAGAATACATGGTGGCATTAGAAAGTTACAAGGTTCCATGTCTGCAAATTTCATAATCAAGGACGTTATAATATACAAATATCCTAAAGTCCTTCCTCTTAAAATGGAATTCTTTATCATTTATAACGTCTGTCTGCTTGCATCACCAATTCCATGTTCTTTCCTTATTCATAATTTGGTCTTAAAAGTTCCTCTTCCTGCACAAGACATGGTTTTTAAACCTCCTTGAATAAAATATTTTGAAGCTCACAAATTTTCAACAGATCACTTCGTCCGAAATTATTTGGACGATTAACGACGAATACAGGAACTTTTAAGACTAAACGACTCAGCAGGCGCTATCTTAGCTAAGCAGCTACCGTCGACATTAGATATACATTAGTTTCTACCCGTGTTACCTGGGAATTCGTCCGTAGGAGCCGAGAAACACCGCACAACCTTCGCAAATTGGCCGCCATGTTTTGTAACAAGTTCGAGGAGACCACTCGAGTGTAGGAGAGCCAATTTCTATACAATGTATGTTTCTAGGTCAGTGCTTTCTTTAGTATGTTGCATTTCATATTTGACAATTTACTAAATTCTATAGATATCAGTAAAAACCGTCAAAGTCACAGTTTTCTCTATCGTATGGTAAAATATATTCTGCCTCCTACTCGGGTAAAATGGTATCGTCCAATCTCTTCACCCTCGGTGACCCCAGGTCAGATGATCGATCACATGCCTTGCACGGTACCAGAGTTCCGGATCCGCGAACTTGTCTTTCCACTCTACTAAAAGCTCGACAACCTGTGAAAACATGGCGTGGGGGACACTGTGGACCTTCTGCGGGATGGCGGTGCTACTGGTGCCGCTCGCTGTGGCGGACACTCCCGCTAACTGCACTTACGCAGACATGCTGGGCACCTGGGTGTTCAGTGTGAGTCAAGGGGGGAACGACAAGACCCTGGACTGTACGGATCCTGGTGAGAAAGACTCTCCTGCTGTTCGTCCTCCGTATATAACTTATGTTACATGTTAACTACTTAACATTCAGAGCACACATTCAACGGAGGGCCTTGTAAAAGTATTGCATTTTCTGTGAGCGTGGTCATTTAGTAACGCATAACGTTACACACCTTAATGCTAGAATTGGAACAGTGGGTAATAAAATATGCATCCAATTGGAATGTAATACTAACTAGAAAAGTAACACTTGCAGCAAATGCATAAATTTTATCTTCGCATATAGTCTGCTATGTTAGTTCTTACACAAACACAATGTGGCATTCACATATATGGTGACTACTATAAAATTGCAACATGATGTAACCCAACACCAGTTACCATGGTGAGAGAGATTCTGGTTCAGTCAGGTCTGAGGTCATTGTATGGAGAAGAAGAAATGTAAGCAAAAACAATGTTTTCCTTCAGTAAACATAATTCATTCTGTCCAGGCCCAGCTACCAACAACATCACCGTGCAGTTCTCTCACTTCTCCACGGCAACTGTGATGTCATCTGGAGGCTACACGTTTGACGTGAACGGTTACTGGACCCTCATCTACAACCAAGGCTTTGAGTTCAGGTACTTCAGTTTAACAATTATACCATTATTGTCATTCATACATATAATCAAACACTACACACTGACAGTGTATTCTGTATCACCTGACCTGTTGGAAGGCTGGGACTGAGAATGATGTGGAATATGGGGTGTTGTATTTTATTCATGCCAATCCCCACCTGAGAAAAAACCCACCTTTCAAAGCAAAACGTGCAAAAATTTGGTGAATTGAAATGTGCAGCAGCTGGCTATATTACACCAAAGAACTTGTTACGTAGCATTTGCACTGCTGCAAATGTCACTTAATTAGGTAGACTGTATCCCATTTCTTTACTTAAATGATGATAACTTGTTGATTTCTTTGTCCTACACATACAGGGTGCTGAACAGGAAGTTCTTTGCCTTCTTTAAGTGGACGGGTGAGGGAAAGAACGCCACCAGCATGTGTAATGAGATCATGCCAGGTACTGCACAACTTCGGATCCTTTGTTTTGCTAAAACT